TCTTGACAAAGAATATGCTATCAAGACAAAAGGCAGAACTGGCAGATCTATTGAAAATTCAGGTCATGAATAAGATCAAGTACTTGGGGATATACTTGACAGCAAGATGCAGTACACTAAAAGAGAATAATTATATCAAACTTAAACAGCAGATAGCGCTAGATTTGGCGAAATGGGAAAATTTACAACTGTCATTAATAGGAAGAATATCAACAATCCAGATGAATATATTACCCAGAATTTTCTATTTGTTTCAAACAATTCCAATTAGGCTTGAAAAGACTATTTTGAAGATTTAAATAAAATTGTGTTGAAATATATATGGCAAGGTAAGAAAGCGAAAATAAAGTTAAAACTTTTGCAAGATGCTAGAATAAGAGGAGCATTTGGTTTGGCTAATTGGGAGTTGTATTACCAAGCTACAAATTTGATATGGGTTAAGGAATGGATAACATTAAGAAATACTAGATTGTTGACATTAGAAGGACATGATCTGTTGTTGGGGTGGCATGCTTTTTCATGGTATAAAGGAACTAAAACACGGGGGTATTTTAGAAGACATTATATACGGGAGTCTCTGTGGTTAAACTGGGAGAAGACTAAAAGACAATGTTATTTGAAAATTCCAGTCTGGCTATCGACTATTGAAGCATTTTCTTATCCTATAATATACAAAAAGGAACAAACAGTTAGATATGGTGAAATATTGAATGAAAAGGGTGAACTTAAATCTGTACAAAAACTAGAGGAACAAGGTATAAAGATGAATTGGTTTTCATATGCGCAAATACATTCAAGGTATGATAAAGATTCTAAAACAGAAGGTTTCTATGATAAACTGACTTATTTAGATAAGATTTTGACAGGTGCTGATGAAAAGGTGATTAAAAAATTGTATGGATATTTATTAGAAATTAAACTAGAAGAAGAACAAGTTAAAAAAACTATGATTGCTTGGGGGAAGAATTTTGGATATGGGATTGATCTAGAGAAATGGCAAAAATTGTGGTCTCAAAATTATAAAATGACAATGTCAACAGCATATAAAGAAAATTTGTATAAGATGTTTTACAGGTGGCATTTTCCCCTGACAAGAATAGCAAAAATGTTCAAGAATACATCCGAAAAATGTTGGAAATGTTATCAGACACCTGGCTCATATTACCGTATACGGTGGACTTGTGCGGATGCTAAAAAATACTGGACTAAAATCCACACGTGGTTGGAAAAAATGACAAAAAAACATAGATTTGAAACCAGAGATATTTTTATTGGGAATTTTACCTGAAATATATAGTAAAGATTTGAAATACCTGATTGTAAATGTATTAACAGCGGCTAGGATTGTATTTGCTAAAAACTGGAAAAATGAGAAAATACCATCACAGGAGGAAATCATTAAGAAAATATTGGAATGTGCTGAAATTGGCAGATTGACATTTGAAATTAGAGAACAGGATAAACAATTTTATAAAAGTTTGGGATCTATTCTATCAATGGTTAGACAATAAAGTATAGTAACGAAATATGTAGACTTTTAGAAAATACTAAATATATAAAGATGTATTCTTTCCTTATATCTACAAAATGATTTTAGGATAGATTTGGGATGATAATATGAATTGTCACAAAACAAATTAAGTAAAATATGATTATTTTCTAAAGCATGAATGAATAAAAGTATAGTCAAATGATTAATAAATGATACCAATGTATTTAATATTGGATTGAAAATACGAGATCACATACAATGTAATTGTAATTGAAGACTACGAAGTGGAAGCACAAAACAATTTGTAAACCAACCGGCACATTGTATGTACATATATGGAAGATGGCCTGATGTTTTTATGTTTTGTTTGTTTATGTTTGTTTTAAAAACCAATAAAAATTTATTTTAAAAAAAAAGAATATGTGTTTTTGCTGCTAAACAAGACAGCTTGTTCTGAAAGTTCTTGAATACATTTGGAAGTTTTAAGGAAGATACAGGCTCAGCTGAGAAAGAGAAATGCAATCCATTGCCACTTTTGATATCTAGTTAGTTGTCTAGAATGTTCTTTTTTTCTTTTTTTGTATATTTTATTTGAGTTTTCACAAAAAGAAAGAAACACAATTAAAACATCTTTTTTGAAAGCAGCATAATCCCGGGTTACATTTCTTCGTGCAGACACAATTTCAGGTTCATGCTCATTTTTATATTATATTCCATATCTTATTACAATTTTACATTTTCTACATAGCTTCTCCCCTCTTTTAATTTTCTCAATTTTATTGTATTTATTTCATCTCAATTCAAATCATTATATTTATATTTTTTGTCTGTCCTGTTTCAATTGTCTATTATCTTTTCTCATTAAACAAAATTTCTCCTGTAGTTACTGATTGGAGTATGAAGCCTTTATATCTTTCCCCTAAAGTTATAACACTCAATATAATACATAGCTTCCATTCAGATTGTGTTTGGTACATTCTTAAACTACACACAGTATTCTTAAAAAAGAAAAAATTATAAATGTATATAATTAAAACAACATTCCATTCCAATTCAATTCTATCATTAATATTAAAATTCATTAAAATCTTAGGATTTTTCATGTTACTTTTCAATTAAATATCATACCTCTATGGGAACAATTATTAGCTTTCCATAATCAATCCCCCCCGCTTCACTTATATTTTATAAAACATTGACTAATTAAAGTGTTCCCATTCCTTCCTAATTCAATTTTCTCATTTATTTCATTTACTTTATTCACAAACATTTCACTAAGTTACACTAACCATTCTATCCCTCATTCTAATCATATGTTGTTTCCAATTTTTAAAGTTATTTCTATTTCAAATATAACAACACAATCTCATGTACCTTTACAGAATCCCCCTTTCAGTTAGATTTTCACCCATTATCTCTAAATAGGTCGTTTCTTTATATCTTGCTCCGGACGTTTGTAACTTCTTTTCCTTTCCTTCTCCCCTCTCTTCTTCTCCCTCCCCTTTTTACCCCTTTCTCTCTCTACCTCTACTTCCCTCTTCTGTATTCCCCTTTTCTGTTGTTTTCCAGTATTATACTTATTTTTCACATTATTTTTCTTTTCTTTGGTTGTTTTTTTAAGTCTTAAATTCTCCATCCTCTTTCCCCCCTTTCCTTTTTCTTCCCCACATAGTTACTTGTTCATTGAAGATGGCTTCTTCTTTGTCCCAGTCTTCTTGTTTTGCAGTCTTTTCTTGTTATTTCTCATAGTTCCAAATCTCCATTTCTAAGAATTGAAAAACGAAGCCAAAGGAACCCTTCCCTTCTTGTGCATCTTTGTACTTTTTAAGTTCCATTTTCAATTCATCGAAAAGTAATGCCATTGTAAAAAAATTTAAACAACCACCCAATTGATTTTAGTCATTCAAATATAATAGCTAAAAATCCAAAAGTCAGTCACCAAGTAATCCAAATACACACAAACTGTTTCTTTTTGCTCTTTTTTTTCCCACTTTCTCTTCCTGGGGTTACTCTTTAGTTGCAAAGTTTCAGTTAAAATGTATCTTTTAGAAGTCTTATTGAAATTTTACTTTAGATTCTTTTAAAGTCCAGGCAGTCTCCTCTCTCTTGCAGATCCTGCCCTTATTCTTTTTCTCTCCCTTCCTGCTTATGAAAAATAAAGTTTTTAATGTCCAGAAATCTTTATTGTCCCTTTAGCATCTAGTTATATTTTCAGCTTAATTGCCTATTAATGCCAAAGCAGATTTTTCCAATTTCTTATTCTTAATTGTCAATATAAGGAAGGAGAGAGAAGGAAAAAAAAGAAGCCAAACCTTTCCCTTTTCACTTTCTTTCGCTGCTTCCGTCTCTTCTTTGGGAGCGATGTTATTTCTTTTAAAATTTAAATTCCAGGGTACCTCAGTTATTGCTTTTTCAAGTTAGCCCGGTCAGCCAAAACTTTTACTTCTTATCTTCCTCCTGCACGTTCTTTTCCGGTTGAGTACTTCTTTGAGGTGGCCATTTCTGACCACCGCTCCTACCGCCTTCGGGAAAGGGAGTTTGACCAGCTGAGGAGAAGAGAAGCGGCTCTTCTCAACCCTGCTGGCAGTCTCCCCCTTCTTCACTACCTCTACGGGGTGGCTTAGCCCCGAAACCAGCCGACTCGGGGCGCTCCAGCAGCGAGCCCAGGCAGAAACCGCGCACGATCACGGATTCCTGTCTGTCGGCGAAGCCCTTCAAACCGGAAGTCCAGTTGTCTAAAAAATTTTTATTCAAATCTCACATACAATAGTTTTAAGAAAGATAGAAATCCAGCTGAGAAAGAGTAATGTAACCCATAAATCTAGTTGGGTTTGTATCTTTCTTAAAACTTGCAAGTGTTCAAGTCTTTTATTGTTTGATCATTTGCTTTTTAAAGCAGTGGCTCAGCAAGGGAGGGCACAAGGGGAGAAAAGAAGGGATGGTTTTGTGTGAGGGCAGTTGCACACACGCACAATTTGATTTGTGTAAACGCGAACGTGGCCCGGTTTTTGAGAACTTTTGTTCTAAAGTGTCACATATAACAATACGCTTGTCATTTGTTTCTGTACCCAATAAAGATTTGACTATCCTTTAAGAAATGCATTTTGCTTTGCCTGAATTATTTAGCAATTTGTATTTTTTTATGATTCACACTTTCAGGTGGGGAAAGAAGCCCCTTTGCAAAGATAAAAGTGTCTCTGTCAAATTCAGGGATCAAATTCTTATTAGCTCCACATCAAATATGGGTGTCTGAGTTTCAAGGCAACAGACACAATATTTTCAATTATTTGAGGTACACCATTTCATGAAATCTGATTTTGAATGGGGAATTGGTAAATTCCAAAATCCCTGAACCTGTTTCACATTTTGGAACTTTTTATTTTTTGTACAGTCCTAGGTATAGCACAAAGAGTGATTGAGATTTCCTTAGGCTGCCCAATCAAAATGAAATAAATTGTGACAGCTATGTTTTTAAGTGCTCTAATTTGAGTAAGGAAAACTTCTCTAATTTGAACTGGACAACTTATCTTTATTTCCACTGCAGTTCTTTAATGTATGATAAAGAAGTTTAAATCAACCAAGAAATCGAAATCAGACTTTTTCCTACCACAGAATTTAATACAATGCACTTGTGCTAAACAGTTTTTATTGAAGAGAAAGGGGGAAATAATTAAAGATGTTTTCTTCTTTAAGGTTCATTTGTAGACATCAGGTTCTGTTCCCTCATAAGAAACTGACACCCATTATCAGAACAGTGGAGCTTTAATTACCTGCTTTGTTCTCCCCTGCATTAGGGAAGTCCTCAAAACAAAACTTAAACTCCAACATACAGTTCATTTATTGAACTATTGAAAAAGTCCAGTAATTCCCCATAGAGAATATCATAAAACAAGCAGTCTATTGACTGCTTCTGCAAAGCTTTTAGCTCTTTGAACTATAATCTCTGACAAAGTACTGGAAAAGTCCATCCTCCCCTTTATTTTTCACCGGAAGGAAGGCTATGGTTTGCATTCTTGTTGATATTGTGACCCACCCTCCCAACTGATCCTAGGGTTTGCTGTTGTTAGTCGTGAAGTCGTGTCCAACCCATCGCGACCCTATGAACAACATTCCTCCAAGCCTTTCTGTCCTCTACCATCCCACGGAGTCCATTTAAGCTCACCCCGACTGCTTCAGTGACTCCAGCACCTCATTCTCTGCCTTCCCCTTCTTGTTTTTCCCTCAATCATTCCCAGCATTATGCTCTTCAATGAGGGTTATGCAAGGAATATCCCTAGTAGTAAAAGAGTTCTCAAACTGCACCACCGTAACTGCTTAGAGCAACCTTGCGTTTAACAAGGAGTGTTTTGACAACTTTGCTCTTCCAATTTTTTAAAAAATATTTTTGATAACCCTCCGACGACGTTCCAACCCAGAACCACAGATACTTCCAAGTCACCAGTATAATAGGAATGTCAAACTGGTTTTCTGGCCCTGCCCCTGTCCAGTTTAACGCAGTGGGAAAAAGTCCCGATACATCAGATGACGTTGCTGTGACATCCCTGGTCTAGTTTAAAACAGTGTTTCTCAACTTCAGCAACTTTTAAGAGATATGGAGTTCAATTCCCAGAAGTCCCCAGTCAGCATGGCTGTCTGGAGAATTCTGGGAATTGAAGTCCACATATTTTAATACTGCATAGGTTGAGAAACAGTGCTTTAGAACATGAAAGGATGTGGTGTCATCAGATATCAAATGGGCCCTTGCTCTTGAAGAGCTTACAATCTAAAATGAATTCTGGGGAACAGGGAGGAACACATACCAGTGTGACACATAGATGTTTTAGCATCAAATGCACCTGGATATCACACCTTTGTTTCCTGGATCTCATTCATTCTTTGCAGAACATGATGACGACACTATCTGTTCAATCATCTCCAATTCTTAGGAATTCCCAACTGTCTCTGCATTTTCCTATCTTGTAGGGTTACTTTCAGTTCTATGTTCTGACTAGTGTGGACTTTGATGGTGTTTAGCCACTGTGTTTTTTGATGGCCTCATTTCCTTTTACCGCTGATCAATGCAGAGCATAGTGCCTTGAAATCCAGTAACTGTAGTTCTCCAGTCAGAGTTTGTCCAACCAATACTTTTTGAAGATGCCTTCATGGGGAACAGAATAAGGTTATTTGACAGTTGTTCAAACTGTAAGGTAGTTCAACATGGTGAAGAGAGTCCACTTAAATATATTTTATTCACAGGTCCTTTATCATTCCATTTTCATTTTTTACTGTCCTCCAGCACAAGTCATGCGTCTTCTGAGATGATATGGAATTGTTGTGTGTTGTTCATTCACATTTATTGAAAAAGGGGGTTCATATCACAAACTATCTGTCTGGAAGCTGCAGTTTTCCAAATGTCTTTTCTGTCCTTCCTCTGATCATACAAAGGACTTCACTTCTATGGATATCCTTAACAATTGTCTTCTTTTGTATTTTTAAAAATGTTTAAAGTTACAACTATTTAGTGCTGTTCATTTTTTAAACACACCTACCATGTTACCATTAACTTTTTGATTCTATCCAACCCAACGGAATGCCTCAAAAATTATGTAAAGGGGCTCGGGACTTTATCTGCCAGTTCATCAGCGGAATAGGACCAAATTTGGTGTGGGAGAAGACATCCATAAAAGAAAAATAAACCTGAAATGATCCAGATCAGGCCAGGATTTTTAAAAAAAAACCTGTCAGAAAAAAATCCCTTCTATCTATCTCTATGTGAGAGGCAGTTGGACAGCAGCTTGGAGTGTTGCCTGATGATCTAAGCCCCATTTTGTCTTAGTCAGGATGGCCCACAGTAGGACTATCATTAAGGGCTAAAAAAAGAATTCTGGAAACCCTTTCCTCCTGCTTTCCCTACTTGGTTTAAAAAGAAGCACTAGCGAAATACGCTGCTTAAATGAGAACATGAAAGCAGTCTAATTTCCGTTTTAAATTATTTCCCCCCCTCTCACTCCCATCTTAACCTTAAAAAATATAGTGTACACTGTGATCATATAGATCATATATATTCAACTTTTAGGAATGGGTAATCAGGCTTTAACGAATAAGCGCTTACTATTAAATACTTGATTTTGTTTTTAAATGCTTTGCTTGGAATTCCCTCCCTACCAATAGCCACTCAGGTTCCACTCCACCATTACGAGTGGAATAGGTGTGGATAAGCATGACTCTGAGAGTGCTGAAAATTAAGAAGCTTGTAGCTTCCAGTGGAAAAGCTATGATGGTTTAGCTCTGGAAGCCTTGGACTTGCCTTCAGTCTCTGAAGTCACTATAATGAGTCTCTCCCTTTAGGCCCAAGTAACTTTTCTCTTGTTCTACAGGCTGGACTGTGAGACCAAAAGAAATATTATTTCTTATTAAGGCTGCCAAAGATTGGAAATGCAGCAGCAATCGGGTGGAGAATTGCACATTCTATAGAGGTAGCTCTTGCTTAATGACTGTCGCTTAACAACCATTCAAAGTTACAATGCACTAATAGCTGCTTAATAACCGCTCAAAATTATGATGGACTTACCTCAGAAAAGCTATTTGTGATCCGTCCTCAAAGTTATGACTGCTGTACTCTGCTAGGGTCACATGATTGCATTTTGGGTGCTTGGCAACTGGCTCGCTTGTAAAACCGGTTGCAGCAGTTTTCGATCATGTGACCACAACCTGCCACGTTTTTTGCCACTTTCCAGCAGAAAATGGCAAAAAACGCCTTTTGGTTATGCTGCATTTGCTTCATGATCCTGATTCACTTAATAATGCGATTGACTCACTTTATGACTTTTGTAAAACGGTCATAAAATCAAGTTTGGTCATGCGGTGCCTCAACTTGTGACCGCAATGACTTATGACCAAAATTCTGGACTCCACTGTGGTTGTTGAGGACTACCTGAACATCACCTGTTTTATTCCTGCCCCTCTTCTGCGGGCACAAGCAAGTAACCATTGCCTGGGAGATCGAGATCAAGGTCAGCTGGACTTTCTTTTTCTTGCACCCCATCTTCTTCTTCGGTGGGTACAGGTATCTGGCCAGAGTTGTGGCTGTATTGGGAAAACCGTTCTAGCAAGAGCTGCCTGAGAAACATGACTGGAATGGGTAGAGCAGCCACAACGATCAGGCTAACGAGAAGGCCCAAGGCCCATGGTGGGTATTCCAGCTGCTCCTCCTCTGACTGGAAAGGAAAGGGAGAGAGAAAATTTTAGATGCATTACCTCACTCTTACCTCAGGCCTCTTCTGTATATTCACAGGTTGCGTCAGGAAGAGAACTCAGTGGAAAAAACTCTTCTGCACACGCTGCTCCATAAATAAGCCCTAATATGATGCATTTGTTTGGGCTGAACAATCTGAACACTTCCCGGGGGGTGGGTGGGTGTTCATTCTAACACAAGGCTAAAGCTAAATATATTGTGTGAACCCACCCTTTAAATCAGAGGTTCCCAATCCTGGTGCCGGGGTCCAGTACCAGACTGTGTGGCTTGTTTGGAACAGAGCCATGGAAGTGACTGGTGAGTGTGTGCCTGCAGCTCCATTTGTACAAGGGGCAGGTGCGCATGCCTGCTGCTCACACAAATGGAGCTGCATGCACACACACAATGCATTTTCCCACTCACACGGAACCATCCCCCCCCTCCCCACCTCCGGTCTCTAAAGCTGGAAAAGTTGGAGGCGGCTGCTTTAAACCGTCACTAGATTTCATTTCATTTTTGTTTCTTTTCAAACATAAGGCAAGCAGGATAACTGCAATGCATGAAAACCAAAGAGCAGATAAATCTCTTACCTTTTCTCTGTTCCAGGCGGTATAGGTGGGGCGCTTCATGACCAGGTGTACCAAACTCGCTAGCAACAGGCACAACATTGCTGCCAGGCTCACAAAGCGCCACATGTAGCTGTAGATTTTCCACGGCCGCCAGCCCAGCATGTTTTCTATGTCATCCAAGAACCTGCAGAAAGAGAAACATACTGTTAGGCTACCTAACTTAGTTTGGGTAAAATAATATATATAGACTATGGTGGTGTGTATCACTTTAAATGCAGACCATGTATTTTGGGTGCGGTTGTAAAATCACCATAAGAGGGAGCAAGAGAGCTCACTGCTGGCTTTTACTGGATTGCTGACAATGGTGGATTGATGGTGATAACTGCGTGTTTTCCCTGCTATTGCTGAACGAAGAAAAGAGGTTTGATTTTCTTCATATCTCTACTGCAAAAAGAGATATATTACTGGACTGATTATTCGTAAGTTTACTGACCTCTTTTCGACACTGGACTTTGCTAATGGATAATCCCCGGACGGACTGAACTTAGTGTATGATATATGGACTGTTTGACTATGCTAACAATCTTACTGGAATAAACTATTTAACTGGCACAGTGTATCTGTTTTACTGAGTGTAAGCTACAACAACGTTTATCTCACATATCTGCCTGCCTGACTGACTACCGTTGCACGTTCTGCTAGGGTGTATATCCCTAACACATACAGACAAAAGTAGCAGACAGCTGAACAAGATTGTTTGCGCAAATGTTACACAAAATTTAAGATTGCCGATTAAACATCACCTTTCTTTCTCCAACTACACAAACAAATTGGAAACATGCAGAGGTGGGAAGGAAGGTAAGAAAATTACCTGTCAGCTCCATAGACCCAGGCTATGGCAAAAGCTTCGCCGGCCACAACAATAAGCAGGGGCAGGGTGGCTGAATAGTCATCAAACATAGTCACAAAATAGTTGCCTGAGCCCTGAACAAAAATCAAGCCCAGCAAGAATCCAATAATACAGCATAGGACTGTAAGGGAGAAAAAACACACACAAAAAACCATTGGCATGAATGGGTATCTGTCTGGACCAGTATAGACAAAATTGAGATGCCAATGCTATTTTTATTTAGCATCACATTCAGAGGACTAACAGAAGCCTCTGGATGCCAGTAAGCAGCACAAGAGACACGTGGCAGCATTTTTAAAAATAGGAGATGATATCTGGATCACAGTTAAGGGTAACGTAGGAATGTAACCCTTATTTTAACGGCCTATCAGATATCTACAGCCAGTAGGTATCTCCATCTGGGTCCCTGTTTCAAACAGAGATGGGAACAAAATGTGAGGTGGTCGAGTCCAACTGCAGCCTTCCCACGGAAGTTACAGCATAACGAGAGAGGAGCAACAGTCCAAAAGAGTTGTGAGATGAGGTTGACATCTGGGGACAACACCCAACTGCTTGGGGGTTTCTTAGGCCCAGGAATGGGACACCTGCTGGTGGTATATAAGCTGGGATGGAGAAGATACTTTCAGATCTCTTGTCCAAGATTCAAAAAACATGGTACCAGTCCAGAGAAATATATAGAACTGGAGGCCAGACTGGGATTATGTACACAATTATGTACTAATAATCCTCAATTTACAAGCATTTATTTAGCAACCGTTTGAAGTTACCAGTTTTAAAAAAGAGTGGTCTTATGACAGGTCCTTGCACTTATGCCCACCGCGGCATCCTCACAGTCGTATGATCAAATTTGGGCACTTGGCAACCGGCATGTTTTTATAATGGTTGCACTGTCCACGGTCCCATGATCACCATTTGAAACCTTCTTACAGGCAAAATCAATAGGAAAAGCCGGGTTTTCTTAAGAACTGCATGATTCGCTTAACAAAACAAATCATAAAATTGGGCATGACTCACAATGACTGTTTTGCTTAGCAACAGCAATTCTGGTGCCAATTGTGATCATAAGTTCACATAACAAACAAAGGGGCGTGCATAAGTACACCATTGTGCCTACCGCCCCTGTCCTATTGTCCCCATTTATTCGCACCTATTTCCTGTAATCTTACTCATGTTTATGCTTCTATCTATTATCTTGTAAGCGATTGACAAATCAAATCAAATCAATAAATAAATCAAACAAGCTGATTACCTGCATGTTAACAGTAGAAAAAGCCCAAAATGATGTTTTTTCTCTTGAAATATTTTAAAGGGAAAATCCCGATTGCATGGAATTAAAATGAATTGTAGTTGTAGCATTTGCTATATATAAAGGAATGCTTTATTTTTTGCTTCATTGCGATGTAAGAAATATAGAATTTTCATATCATCCTTTGTTCGTTCCTTCCTCAATGTCCTGCCCAGGACCAGAATGATTTAAGAATGATTTCATTTTAAAATGCATTCATTGTCCTCTGGCAGTTTGAATTAGGGAAGTAGCAGCACCCAAATTCTGACCCAGCCATCTGAAATGGCACCATCAACAATCAAAACCATTAGCATCCCATTTTAAATGCAATTCATTCTTCTGGATTCTGAAATCCTATCACCTCATCTTGCAGAATATTTTAAATCCTACCACCTGTTTTGCTATCTAAATCTTGTAGAGTACAAAGTACCGCAACCGAAAATCCCAGCCCTTGTGGTATATAACGCACCCATAAATTTTGGTCTTGCCCCAGAAGAAGAAAGACTTGCCCCTCTGAGGTACCTGTGAAGAGCGTCCGCCGACGCTGGAGGCCTTGGAAGTTGTCCAACAAAGGAGTGATGATTCCTTGCATGTTCCCTAACATGGTGCTCAACCCTAAATTGAGCAACATAAAGAAGAACAGCATAGACCAGAAGGGGGCTGTTGGAAACAGGGTCATAGCTTCTGTGAAGGCGATGAAGGCCAGGCCTGTCCCTTCCACACCCTGAGGGAGAGAGAGAGAGAAATATGGACAATGGGAAATATAGCAGATGGAAAACTTTGTCATCCCCAATCTGGATCTCTTCCAGGTATGAGGATTTCAACTTTAAGACTTCCCCAGTCAGCAAGAAAAAAGACCCTTATGTATATGTAATTGTATTATTATTGTTAGCATTGTATAAAAATATATATTGACCCAGTCATTACACTGTCTAAAATATGCTGGTTGTTAAAAGGAAAAATACAAATAAAACATAAAAAAGACTTCCCCAGTCGCATTCCCCTGGTTACAAACCCAGAAGACACCAAATAGGGTGTCTGGGACAATTCTGAGAGTTGAAGTCCGCAGATCTTAAAATTGCTAAAGCTGAGAAACACTGTGCTAAACTGGAAGGTTATGTTTTGACTGGCAAGTCATAATACATGCAGGGCCATATCTGCTCAATAGCTTGACTTCTTTTTACCCTTAATCAGCTTTTTGCTTCTTAGGATTTCAGACCATGTGATGACACATCATTCTAATCCATAATTTTGCTATGTTGGTTTTGGTGAACTCAACCACTGGGATTTATACATTTATCATGTTAGCACAGGGGTCTTCAAACTTGACAACTGTTAAGACTTGTGGACTTCAACTCCCAGAATTCCTCCTCCAGTCATGTTAGCTCAGGAATTCTGGGAGTTGAAGTCCACAAGTCTTAACAGTTGTCAAGTTTGAAGACCCTTGGCTTAGCAGCATACTCTTGAATTATCTATAGCAGGGATCTCCAACCTTAACAACTTTAATACTTGGGGGCTTTGCTGGCTGAAGAATTCTGGGAGTTGAAGTCCACAAGTCTTAAAGTTGCTACAGTTGGAGACTCCTGATCTATAGTTAGCCAGATTTGTGAATCCATCCCTTGCCTACCTATTTACCTTATTCATTTCATCTTCTACACGACAGTCACCAAGTTTCCACTTCTGCAATTGCTTTGTATCATTCCATTGATCCTGATACCAATTGCTGTATTGAGCAGGTGAAAATTCAGACAGGTTTACAGGGAGCACAGCCGAGAGGGAACCATTCTTCACTAGCTCTGTAAAAAGACCTGCATTTCTGCCAAATAAATAAACATATAGTAGAAAGGTTAGAAAACACATGGACCCCAAACAGAACATAAAAACTCAAACTCAGTCACCTGGAAGACATTAGACAAAGGTTGGGTAACCAAGGCTTGGAGGCAACATTGGAATTTCAAGAATAAGTTGGGAGACAGCGCTGGAATTTGTTGCCCAATACATCTGGAAGGTTCTAGGTAGAGTTTAAACTGTTGCAAGCTAATTGGTGGCACAGTGATTAGGATGCAGTATTGCAGGATAACTCTGCCCACAGCCAGGAGTTTGATACTGACTGGCTCAAGGTTCACTCAGCCTTCCACCCTTCTTAAGTCAGTAAAATGAGGGCCTAGATAGTTGGAGGCAATATGCTGACATTTGTAAAGTGTACGGAAAGTGCTGCAAAGCACTGTGGAATGGTATATAAGTCTAAGTGCTATTGCTATTCTTACGATCATATGCCTACATACAATAAACAATTAATATATACTGGCCATTGACTCTAAAAAGGAATGTCCAATAAGGCAAGGGACCCAATTCCTGGGCTGCTGCCATTACCAGGCCACAGCCTGTTCGAAACTGGACTGCAGGAGAAATGGGCAAGTATGTGCGTGTGAAGCTCCACTTGTGTGAGCACAGGGCACTTGCGTTCATGAGTGAAGCTCCACTTGCATGAATGGAGCTTGGCACTCTTCACTTGTATCAGTGGAAGTTCAATTGCAAAAACCAGCTTATACCTTTTAAAATCATAGAACAACATTGGCCTATCCCAAATCCTTGAGAAGGATTTGATAGATGCATAAAAATGGCAAATGTGGTCTAAACATCTGGTTGACTGTGCAATAAGCCATAATAATACCCAGTTATTCCCAGGCATAACTGGGAATAATACCTAATAATATCCAGGCATCTCAAGCTGTGAGATGCCCTGCCTCTCTCATAAGTAATATGGAGGGGACAAAGTCAGTCAAGCCATTTTAACTGCAAGATAGGTAAGCAGCAATGGATACTATAAATCCAATATGCTTGAGAAGGAGGGATGGCTGAAAGATGCTGATAACAGACTTTTCTGGGAATAAATGAGATTTGTCCCACCTATACTTGGTACATGTGGAGCCAAACAGCACAGCCAACCTAGGACTTACCTTTTGCTATTACATCTCTCCTTCAGTACTTAAAAAGGGGTGTCATATCCCCACTCAACCCTTTCTTGCAGGACTTAGTATCTGATCATAGCACTTAGACTTATATACCACTTTACAGTGCTTTCATAGCCCTCTCTAAGTGGTTTAGAGAGTCAGCCTATGGCCCCCCAACAATCTGGGTCCTCATTTTACCGACCTCGGAAGGATGGAAGGCTGAGTCAGCCTTGAGCCAAACAGGATCGAACTCCTGGCAGTGAGCTAAGTTAACCTGCAATACTGCATTCTGACCACCAGGGCTCTTGATCACATTTTACTACCCTTTTACTAACACTTTTACTAACAGTTAGATGAACACTAACCTTGCAACACAATTGTGCGCCAACACATTGGCTCGGAAGCCCAGCACGGCAAACACCACCAGTGTGGCCAGCACCGAGGTAAGGAAATTGATGCCAGACACAAGCAACCCATCGATGTGGCAGTTGTTATGCTGAGGATTGTAGCTGGAGTAAGCAATGATGGTGCCGAAGCCCAAGCCCAGAGCAAAGAACACCTGGGTGGCTGCCTGACGCCAGACCTGCATATCTCCCCAAATGGACAGCTTGGGGAGTGGGGAAAGGTAAGACATTGTGAGGAAGGGACAAAAGGCACCATTTTATATTTCTGCATCTCTGGCCCTGCTAGATCTTTTCTCATTTGCTGACATGCGTAAAAAAAACCTCAAAGATGCTTTGGTTCCCTCATGATTGGACTATGCTGTCCATTCCACACAGGACTGCCCTTGAAGACTATCTGGAGGCTACAGATAGTCCAGAATGTGGCAGCATGGACCGTTTTGGACAGGCGCGTGTAATACCTCTGCTTCGCGAGCTGCACTGCAGGCCAGCAGGCCTCTGAATGCAACTCAAGGTGCTGGTTATCATCTATAAAATCGCATATAGCAATTTTTCTCAACGTTGGCACTTTGAAGATGTGGGGATTTCAACTCACAGAATTCCCCAGCCAGCTACGTTGCCTGGGGAATTCTGGGACTTGAAGTCTATACACCTTCAGGATGCCAAGATTGAGAAATACTGCTATATGGGATAAGAACTAGATTTTGAGGGATTGCCTATTTCTGCCCATTCCATACAGCCTGACAGAGCCAGCATACTCCAAGTCCCATCCATTAAACAATGTTATCTGATGGGACCCATCTCTGACATGAGAACTGCGCTATAGGATACCATCCCAACCTAGATTTGACCACTCCCTGCAGGATTGTTTAAATGAGACTTTAAAACCTGACTCAGGTCTTAGGTTAGGTTGGACCCCTTGAGGAATATTTTCTTATATAATTGATTTTAATTTTCTCTGGACTTCCTTTTGGATGACATAAGCTGTTTTTCTGTACAGCAAAAGGCACTGAAAAAAATGACTTACAAAGTCTTGGCTAAAGCGTTCCCATGATCACATCGTTAAAATTAGAGGGCTTTGCAACCAGTATGTATTTATAGCCGTTCCAAAAGTCATGTGATCGCCATTTCCAACTTTCACAGCTGACTTCTGACAAGCTATATCAATGGGGAAGCCGATCGACTTAAGGATTGCATGATTCCTTAACAATGCCAATGATTTGCTTAAAAGCTGGGGCAACAAAGGTTGTAAAATCGGAGGTGACTCACTTAATTTGCTAAGCAACAGAAATTCTGGTCCCAGTTATGATAACCTGAGGACTACCTATACTTCAAAACCAGGATGGTGCCCAGGGCCAGTGGCTCTTACCTTAGGGGTGAACATGATCTTGATTCCATCAGCTGCCCCTTCTAACAGCAAAGCACGTACAAGGAAGCACAAGAGAACCACGTAAGGGAACAGAGAGCTGAAATACAGAACCTGGGATGGAGAGAAGATATGGTGGAAATGAACTCAAAAATCAAGGCATGGTGAGAATCACGCTGTCAGACGTTATCGGTACATGAGGGTAAAATTTTGCTTTCATGTTTCTGCAGCTTCTTTCTCACAAATGTATTTACTGATTTATTTCTTAAACTTATACAGCTAGTCCATGACTTACGATCACAATTGAGCCCAAAATTTTTGTTGCTAAGTGAAACAGTGGTTAAGTGAGCTTGCCAAATTTATGACCTTTCTTGCCACAGCCGTTAAGTGAATTACTGCAGTTGTTAAATTGGTCAAACTGTTCTTAAATTGGTCAAACTTTTGTTAAGTGAATCTGGCTTCCCCATTGACTTGTCAGAAGGTCGTAAAAGGGGCTGCAACGGTCGTAAGTGTGAAAACTGGTCATAAGTCACTGTTATCGGAGCCCTTGTAACTTTGAATGGTTACTAAACAAACTGTTGTTAAGTCAAGGACTATCGGTATAGCTGCCCATCTCATATACAGTGGCTCTGCGCAGTGTACATTAAAAATCACACTTAAACCCCCCAGTTCCCCACATTTAGTCTATAATCTAAATTACTTGGTTTCCCTTCTTAGGTCTCTTCTTCCCCTTCCTCCCCGAAATCCAAGTAAATGCAAATTTCCTCAGCCGTAAGATCAGCTAGTGAAGATGAAAGTATGGTCCACCGTATCTAGAGGCTGCTAGGTTGAGGAAGAGAAGACAACTATATGCAAGGTAATGGTTGGGATGTCAATTACAGGTAGTCCTCAACTTATGACCCATCATTTAGAACAGGGGTCTTCAAACTTGACAGCTTTAAGACTT